CCTTCCTGATATATTTAAACTCCTTAACACAGTCAGCCATAGATTTTCCTCCCAATTTATTTGGGTTCCCTTATCAAGTTTGCAAAAAGAAAAGGAGTACTTGTGGCACCTTAGAGACTAACCAATTTATTTGAGCATAAGCTTTCGTGAGCTACAGCTCACTTCATCGGATGCATACTGTGGAAAGCGTAGAAGATCTTTTTATACACACAAAGCATGAAAAAATACCTCCCCCCACCCCACTCTGCTGCTGGTAATAGCTTATCTAAAGTGATCACTCTCCTTACAATGACAGGTTTCAGAGTAACAGCCGTGTTAGTCTGTATTCGCAAAAAGAAAAGGAGTACTTGTGGCACCTTAGAGACTAACCAATTTATTTGAGCATGAGCTTTCGTGAGCTACAGCTCACGTAGCTCACGAAAGCTCATGCTCAAATAAATTGGTTAGTCTCTAAGGTGCCACAAGTACTCCTTTTCTTTCTCCTTACAATGTGTATGATAATTAAGTTGGGCCATTTTCAGCACAAATCCAGGGTTTAACAAGAACGTCTGAGGAGGTCGGGGGGGGGGGGGGGAAATAGGGGAAGTCACCTACTACAGGACAAGCCTAACAAAGAAAATAACAGAACGCCACTAGCCGTCACCTTAAGCCCCCAACTAAAACCCCTCCAACGCATTATTAAGGATCTACAACCTATCCTGAAGGATGACCCAACACGCTCACAAATCTTGGGAGATAGGCCAGTCCTTGCCTACAGACAGCCCCCCAACCTGAAGCAAATACTCACCAGCAACCACATACCACACAACAGAACCACTAACCCAGGAACCTATCTTTGCAACAAAGCCCGTTCCCAACCGTGCCCACATATCTATTCAGGGGACACCATCACAGGGCCTAATAACATCAGCCACACTATCAGAGGCTCCAGAGGAACAGCCGTGTTAGTCTGTATTTGCAAAAAGAAAAGGAGTACTTGTGGCACCTTAGAGACTAACCAATTTATTTGAGCATGAGCTTTCGTGAGCTACAGCTCACTTCATCAGATGTGTACCGTGGAAACTGCAGCAGACTTTATATACACACAGAGAATATGAAACAATACCTCCTCCCACCCCACTGTCCTGCTGGTAATAGCTTATCTAAAGTGATCAACAGGTGGGCCATTTCCAGCACGATAACACCATCCTGGCTACTATGGATGTAGAAGCCCTCTACACCAACATTCCACACAAAGATGGACTACAAGCCGTCAAGAACACTATCCCCGATAATGTCACGGCTAACCTGGTGGCTGAACTTTGTGACTTTGTCCTTACCCATAACTATTTTACATTTGGGGACAATGTATACCTTCAGATCAGCGGCACTGCTATGGGTACCCGCATGGCCCCACAGTATGCCAACATTTTTATGGCTGATTTAGAACAACGCTTCCTCAGCTCTCGTCCCCTAAAGCCCCTACTCTACTTGCGCTACATTGATGACGACGTCTTCATCATCTGGACCCATGGAAAAGAAGCCCTTGAGGAATTCCACCATGATTTCAACAATTTCCATCCCACCACCAACCTCAGCCTGGTCCAGTCCACACAAGAGATCCACTTCCTGGACACTACAGTGCTAATAAACAATGGCCACATAAACACCACCCTATACCGGAAACCTACTGACCGCTATTCCTACCTGCATGCCTCCAGCTTTCACCCTGACCACACCACACGATCCATCGTCTACAGCCAAGCTCTGCGATACAACCGCATTTGCTCCAACCCCTCAGACAGAGACAAACACCTACAAGATCTCTGTCAAGCTTTCTTACAACTACAATACCCACCTGCAGAAGTAAAGAAACAGATTGATAGAGCCAGAAGAGTTCCCAGAAGTTACCTACTACAGGACAGGCCTAACAAAGAAAATAACAGAACGCCACTAGCGGTCACCTTCAGCCCCCAACTAAAACCCCTCCAACGCATTATTAAGGATCTACAACCTATCCTAAAGGATGACCCAACACTCTCACAAGTCTTGGGAGACAGGCCAGTCCTTGCCTACAGACAGCCCCGCAACCTGAAGCAAATACTCACCAACAACCACATACCACACAACAGAACCACTAACCCAGGAACTTATCCTTGCAACAAAGCCCGTTGCCAAGTGTGCCCACATATCTATTCAGGGGACACCATCACAGGACCTAATAACATCAGCCACACTATCAGAGGCTCGTTCACCTGCACATCCACCAATGTGATATATGCCATCATGTGCCAGCAATGCCCCTCTGCCATGTACATTGGTCAAACTGGACAGTCTCTACGTAAAAGAATAAATGGACACAAATCAGATGTCAAGAATTATAACATTCATAAACCAGTTGGAGAACACTTCAATCTCTCTGGTCACGCAATCACAGACATGAAGGTCGCTATCTTAAAACAAAAAAACTTCAAATCCAGACTCCAGCGAGAAACTGCTGAATTGGAATTCATTTGCAAATTGGATACTATTAATTTAGGCTTAAATAGAGACTGGGAGTGGCTAAGTCATTATGCAAGGTAGCCTGTTTCCTCTTGTTTTTTCCTACCCCCCCCCCCCCCCAGATGTTCTGGTTTAACTTGGATTTAAACTTGGAGAGTGGTCAGTTTAGATGAGCTATTACCAGCAGGAGAGTGAGTTTGTGTGTGTATGGGGGTGGGGGGGATGTGAGAAAACCTGGATCTATGCACGAAATAGCCCGACTTGATTATGTAAAGAGTTGTCACTTTGGATGGGCTAGCACCAGCAGGAGAGTGAATTTGTGTGGGGGGGGTGGAGGGTGAGAAAACCTGGATTTGTGCTGGAAATGGCCCACCTGTTGATCACTTTAGATAAGCTATTACCAGCAGGACAGTGGGGTGGGAGGAGGTATTGTTTCATATTCTCTGTGTGTATATAACGTCTGCTGCAGTTTCCACGGTACACATCTGATGAAGTGAGCTGTAGCTCACGAAAGCTCATGCTCAAATAAATTGGTTAGTCTCTAAGGTGCCACAAGTACTCCTTTTCTTTTTGCCAATACAGACTAACACAGCTGTTACTCTGAAACTTATCAAGTTTCTATACTTCATAAATTCTAATTTATATTGATTGCGATCTACTGCCCCTTTTTCCCATTTGTAATATAGGTTTTTTAAGCACAGTGCTGTTTATAGAACCTAGAAGAGGGTCTTGAAGCTGAGGAAGCCTGTTTAAGGCTCTGCATGAACCCCTGCCTGGAACCTCAGGCAGTTCAGCTGATTTCACCCACAGAGATTCCCAAGAGGAGAAAGGCCTGGAGCCTGAGGTGATACTCCCTAAGGGTTTGCACTCTGTAAGCCCTCTCCAGCACACTGGCCCCGCCCACCGCAACGCTTAATTTCTTGCCCTCGCTTCCCTCACAACTGCCTCAGCCCCTCGCAAGCTGGCTGGGTATGGGAAACAATCCTGCAAAATCACCTACTTTGTCCAGTCCCGTGGGGGGGTTTCCGTGTCTCATCCTCTGTGTCGGAGGACAAGAGTAATCGTCTCTGTTCAGAGGCCCCATCAGGACCAAGGTTACAGACCTGAGGGATGCTGACCAAGGGTCTGGGGGCTCCCAGCTGAAAGGGGAAAACAACGGAGGATGACCCAGCCCTCAAGCGAGCCCAGCTGCTTCTCATGCCCCTACAGGAGGGCCCGGCTCGCGCCCCGAGATTCCCCGGCAGGGCTCTGGCTCCCGCCCCTCGCCCGCCTCTCCCCCCGCGCTGTTCCCCGACAGGTCTTCACCCCGCAATTCACTCACCCGGACGCGCTGCCTAGGCCCGCGCGCCATCCTCGCGCGGAACCCGCGGCCGTTCAAACCGCCCGCCCGCCCGCCGCTCTGTTCAGCCCCCGCCACGTCCGGGGCGGTACTTCCCCCTCCCGGCCAGGTCGCGCATGCGCCGAGGGGGAGCCACGCTTCCACGTCCAACTGCAGCTCCCCGATGAGCCCCGCAGGTGCGGCCGCTGCCAGTGCGACCCCGTCCCCGCCAGCAACCGGCTCCAGGGCCCCGTGGCCGCCCTCCCCCGGCCCCACAGGTTCTGAGCGCGCGCCCAGCGCCTCTTCCCGCGCGGAGACCCATGGGCGCGCCTTCCCCGGCCCCGCCGCGGCGAAGCTCTCCCGCTGGCGCCAGAGAGTACAACAAAAACACGCTGTCTGCAGTGATCTTTAGCTGTAGTCATAAGATGTCTTTTTTATTAGGCAGTTAGCTGGAAACAAAAGCCTGTTACAATAAGCGAAGCGGCAGTGAAAGCAGCAACATCCCGCGCCAGGAACAACGCTCAACTGGCACCCGCAGCAAGTCTCACCGAGGGAGAGCACGTCCCCCGAAGGGTAAATGGTTTAGTTCAGCTTTGGGGCAGGTGTCGTAACTTGCAGCATCACTTCTTAAGGTATTTTTATGGGTTTAAACTAGGTAGTTTCAATTGTCCAAAGCGATAAGGCTGAGCTTTTAAAGAGTAGAATTTATAACCGCACGCTGGTTATGGAGAGGGAGTGTAGCCATGATAGGCCTAGGCGGTCTTTTAGTGGAGCAACTTCTGTTAGTGAAAGAGAGAAGCTGACATAGCACTCCTCTTCATGAGGAAAGGTCTTACCACCCGAGTACCTACACAGCAACAAAACAGCCCCTGGTGCACGCTAGCCCCGGGTTCTTTGGTGCTGTGTCAACATACCCTCTAATGTTTCTCTCACCCCCAGAACTTGGTCCAATAAAATGTATTACCTCACCCACCTTGTCATTTCTGGTTAGAAAATGACACCTAAGATTTCTTGCTCAGGTATTAGCAGGTAGTAAGAATCTACCAGCAAACTAAGGCATTCATCACCTAGGATACATTCAAAAGCATCAACTGAGACTTAAATAAAAGGTGCATCAAAAGCAGCACTTTGAACACAGTTCTCTGTTGCCGCACTAGAAGACAAATTGTTACCTGTTACTGAATAGATATGTGTAGCACACTTAGCAAGACTGGCATTGGTTTATTTAAACTGTAGTCCATGACCCTCTGCACAGATTTAGGAACAAAATTACTTAATTCATGCTTGTTCAATACAAAACTCAGCATCAGAGTTTACATACAGCTCATGGCCTCCAAGTTACCACACATCAGTAAGAGAAAGATAATGACACCCCCACATTAAGAAAAAAGCCTTTCTGGGTGATCCTTATTATACTGCAAGAATTAATATACTTGATGCAGATATTTAGTAGATGAAAATCTATACTTACCTGGGATTTCATTTCTGCTGAAATGAATAGAACTATTTAAAAACCAAGCTATAGAAAGGAAGGTAAAAGGCCAGCAGCCCAGAACATTGTTTTGACAGCAGCACAGAAAGGGTAGTAAAGGCGAAACGCTGGTCAAATAGATCAAACTGGGCAAACCAGAGCTTTATTTTAAAAAAGTCCTTGCTACAGTACCTAGGACTGTGCCTCTGTACATAATTAACAATCATTCCTGAAGGATTTGTATTTGGCACCAGTTTGTTTACTTAAACAGTTTGGGGGCATTAATTTTAAACCAATTTTGTTTTTCAACAGAATAGGAGCTATCATCACCAAGCCAATTAGCTGAGATACAGGAGAATCTTTTTTTTTTTTAAACCAAGCACTGAGTTCTCATCTAAATCAACACAGTACAGAAAGTTCCAAAACAGGAGGTCAAACATTAAAAGGCTGATATAGGCTCAAGTGGTTTATAAAACCTGTAAAAAGACTACACCAGCAAATATGCCCTTTCAATCTGCAGTTAAGAAGTGAATGCAGGGAGCAACACTCACTAGTTGGAAATCATGTCATGGAAGAATCGCACATATACCAACAGGAACACCTGAAATCAAACATTAAAAAGCTCCAATTCCCAATCCACATAAGAGGAGAAAAATTCGTAGGAAGATTGAATCAATCCATGAAATCACAATTGGATGGACAGTTCACACTTTCCCCATCAAGTACTAGGCCTTGCAAACATACAGCACATGTGCCCAACTCAATCTTTTTCAAACTCCTTATGGAATAGAAAGTTCCCAATCTCTACAGCCTCTCCCCATTATGCACAAAGTATGTCTGTCTGTGCTCTTAAATCACCATCATGTATCACTTCAGCCACAGAGTACCAGGCAGATTAAGTAGAAATGCACTGTCTTTAGCTCCCATCTCCTTTGCAGAGGAGTCTGAGAGGCTCAATTCTGGGAGAGTTGTGTGGGCAGAGTCCTTCATGCAGATTCATTGGTCTCTATTGGCTTAACCATATGGTCTGGTTTGTTGCCAGCAGCGTAGTGATCCCACATCTGAAGGTAAAGCCGCTCCAGTTCCATTGTGTACTGTTTGGTGTTGAACAAAGGACTTGATATTCTCTGCTTCCAGACTTTACTACGAATTTTCTTCAGGCTACACAAAAAGCGTTAAAAGCAAGCAGTCAGATGAGAAGCAGACAAAGGAACAAACAGCTATTGTGATCTATTACCTCAACTAACCCAGAACTCTCAGCACACCATTGCATCAGCAAATCCCTTTACTGTCATCCCCCTACTCAAAATCCATGTTGCTGTTCCTTCCCCAGTGTGAAATGGTCAACTTCACAGAAACTCAACTTTTTCATTGTAGGTGAAAATGCTATGGACATTTGTATTAGTACTGCTACATGCTAATTAACCAGACCCACCAACCCTTCATTACAGCCCCATCAGATGGAATTTCCTCAACTGCAAGTGCCCCTTTATTTCAGTCTAGGTTTTTCTTTCTGAAAGGAAAGTGAAAATGCATTTTGTTTGCGTTTACTTTCTGCAGAAGGTTCAATATATCAGCATTCCTATCTCCCTCTCAGCAGCTTCACAAAGTAAACAGTAATCTCCAGACAGAAGGTTCTTTATTACCCTGTAGCTCCACAGGGAATGAGAAACGGGGAAAACAAGTTCTATGAAAAAAAAGCCCATGTCTAATTTCAATACATTTGGTCCATCCTTAACCCCACAGACCATTCACAATGACTATATGGATACACTACCAAGAGGCAGTGTGAACAGGAGCAGTGATTACAAGGTTAGGATTAAGGAAGTTCTAAATTCGAATTCCAGCTCTGCCGATATCACAATGTGACATCCTGCACATGATGCTCAATCTCAGTCTCTATATCTGTAAAATTAGAATTACTTCATAGGGAATATGTTGAGCGTTCCTCAATGCTGGGAGGGCTAGTCAATGATTGTGTAGTGATCTGAACATGTAAAGTGCCAAGTATTTTTAGGGAGGACAAGTGCATAATTTGGGCACTTCATGATACTCACCCATCTGAACATGCCACACCCCATTCTAGTATAGTTCCCTTCCACATCTGCCTTCCTAGCTCCTATTATGGCTATTTAAAGAGCTCAGCCCTCCCTGAGAAGGCAGCCTGTCACACACATCCCACCCACTATCTTCAGCATGGAGTTCTGGGGTCTGTGAAAGAATTCCCCCCCCCGGCCCCTTTGCCTCCAACCTTGGCCTCTATTGAAGGCATATATTGCTCCCTTCTGCTGCTTCCTGGTATGAGGATCCTAGATCCCCAACAGAGTAGGCAGGCAGCTAAACCAGGGAGGATAAGAGGAGGTAATTCCCTCAGGACACATTGTGGATATGAATTCTAGCCCAGTTCCTCATTCCAATGAGCACAGACCGTACTTCCTCATCAGCAAAGCAGTTTAGTGGCTTCTTCAAAACCCTGGAGGTCAGTCAGCTCCCAAGGTAACTAACAGCTGGTAACTTTATCAGTCAGAATAAGTTCAGTAGAACGAAAGTAATGACATGCCTCACTGCTTATAGCTGTTTATGTTTATTCTATTTTGCTTCCTAACACTCACTATCCCCAATAATGGTGCCTTACTATTCTAGATCTTCATTTCATCCTCAAAACTGGATTTACTTACTATTCTAGATCAGTTCCCAGTTTCACAGCAATATCTTCATATTCTTGTCTACTCTTAGCAATAAGTTCAAGACAACCAAGGCAAGTAAGCTGGGAGGCAGCAACCCGTGATGCAAGAGTTTCTCCTGTAAAAAGAGAAAAGAAAGTGATAACCAGTACTTCTTGATGCTTTACAGTTTATTTAATTTTTTTCTCCTGCCTGAGAAAACACACAAGGGGAGGTTGCTAGACTATCTGTTCTGGAAAGCCTGCTCACTAGCTAGAACTGGGAAGCACCTAATTTCTTTACTATCTATGAACTCTTCACACTAGATATTTACATATACAAGATCAAAATAAAAACAAGAAGGATTCACAGAATATCAGGGTTGGAAGGGACCTCAGGAGGTCACCTAGTCCAACCCCCTGCTCAAAGTAGGACCAATCCCCAACTAAATCATCCCAGCCAGGGCTTTGTCAAGCCTGACCTTAAAAACTTCTAAGGAAGGAGATTCCACCACCTCCCTAGGTAACGCACTCCAGTGTTTCACCACCCTCCTAGTGAAAAAGTTTTTCCTAATATCCAACCTAAACCTCGCCCACTGCAACTTGAGACCATTACTCCTCGTTCCATCATCTGCTACCACTGAGAACAGTCTAGATCCATCCTCTTTGGAACCCCCTTTCAGGTAGTTGAAAGCAGCTATCAAATCCCCCCTCATTCTTCTCTTCCACAGACTAAACAATCGCAGTTCCCTCAGCCTCTCCTCATAAGTCATGTGTTCCAGTCCCCTAATCATTTTTGTTGCCCTCTGCTGGACGTTTTCCAATTTTTCCACATCCTTCTTGTAGTGTGGGGCCCAAAACTGGACACAGTACTCCAGATGAGGCCTCACCAATGTCGAATAGAGGGGAACGATCACATCCTTCGATCTGCTGGCAATGCCCCTACTTATACAGCCCAAAATGCCATTGGCCTTCTTGGCAACAAGGGCACACTGTTGACTCATATCCAGCTTCTCGTCCACTGTAAACCCCTAGGTCCTTTTCTGCAGAACTGCTGCCTAGCCATTCGGTCCCTAGTCTGTAGCGGTGCATGGGATTCTTCCATCCTAAGTGCAGGACTCTGCACTTGTCCTTGTTGAACCTCATCAGATTTTTTTTGGCCCAATCCTCCAATTTGTCTAGGTCCCTCTGTATCCTATCCCTACCCTCCAGCGTATCTACCTCTCCTCCCAGTTTAGTGTCATCTTCAAACTTGCTGAGGGTGCAATCCACACCATCCTCCAGATAATTTATGAAGATATTGAACAAAACCGGCCCCAGGACTGACCCTTGGTGCACTCCACTTGATACCGGTTGCCAACTAGACATGGAGCCATTGATCACTACCCATTGAGCCCGACAATCTAGCCAACTCTCTATCCACCTTATAGTCCTTTCATCCAGCCCATACTTCTTTGTATACAGAATACTGTGAGAGACCGTGTCAAAAGCTTTGCTAAAGTCAAGGAACAACACGTCCACTGCTTTCCCCTCATCCACAGAGCCAGTTATCTCGCCATAGAAGGCAATTAGATTAGTCAGGCATGACTTGCCCTTGGTGAATCCATGCTGACTGTTCCTGATCACTTTCCTCTCTTCTTAGTGCTTCAGAATTGATTCCTTGAGAACCTGCTCCATGATTGAAGGTCTACAACAATTACATTCAGTATGAATTGTCACCATGTGACTACAATTTTGTTTCCCTGAGACATTACCTGGCATAGTAACCATGGGAGTCCCAGCCCAGAGTACATCCATCCCAGTAGTGTGCCCATTACAAAGTGGAGTATCTAGACAAACATCAGCCAACTGGCCCCTCCGCACATGTTCCTCTTTGGGGGCAACAGGAGAGAAGATGATTCGGTTCTGGGGAAGGCCCATGTTCTGTGCATATTGCTGAATATTGGGTTCTCCTACAGCTGGGAAACGCAACAGCCACAATACGCTGTTTGGAACTCGCTTCAGAATCTACAACCAAACCAGGAAGAAAATAAAGGGTAAGTGTGTTAAAAACATTCAGAAGCATCACCCTCCTGGATAGATCAGAACAAGCCAATAGTAGCAGGAAATCACAGAAATGTATGACTGGAAGGGCCCTCGATAGGTCATTTAATCCAGTCCTCTGCACTGAGGCAGGTCTAAGTACTATCTAGATCATTCCTGACAGGTGTTTGTCTAACCTGTTCCTAAAAGCCTCCAGTGACTTAGATTCCACAACCTCCCTAGGTAATTTGTTCCAGTGCTTAACTACCCTGATGGTTAGGAAGTTTTTCCTAATGTCTAACCTAAAACTCTCTTACTGCAATTTAAGCCCATTGCTTCTTGTCCAGTCCACTGGGTTAAGGAGAACAATTTATCACACTCCTCTTTATAACAGCCTTTTATGTACTTGATGACTTAGGTCCCCTCTCAGTCTTCTCTTCTCCAGATTGAAAAAATTTAATTTTTGTTTAATCTTGATTTGTAGGTCATGTTTTCTAGACATTTAGTCCGTTTTGTTGCTCTCCCTCAACTTCCCTACATCTTTCCCCAACTGTGGTACCCAGAACTGCACACAGCACTCCAGCTGAGGCATCACAATCAGTGCTGTCTTGTCTTGTTTGCAACACCCCCGCTAATACATCCCAGAATGACGTTTGCTTGTTTTGCGACAGTATTAAATATGAGTCAACAATGTAATACTGTTGGCAAAACAAGCAAACAACATTGTGGGATCTATTAGCAGGAGTGCTGTAAGCAAGACAGAAGATGTAATTCTTCCACTCTACTCAGCACTGATTGATAAGGCCTTAGCTGGAGCATGGAGATGGAGCATGCACCTCTCATTTCACTTTTGTACCACAGTTTGGGTGGAAGTAACATTTGCCAGTTAATTTTAATAAGACAAACAGCAGCATAAAGGGGTGTGTACCCACAGGAGATGAAACGACGAGGTATATTTAGCGTTCGTGAAAATGCTGGAGTCACAGCCTCAGAGACTGAAGTTTCCAATTTATTTACAGGGAGCATTATGCAGTAGTTCATAAGAACAGCCATACTTGGTCAGACCAAAGGTCCATCTAGCCCAATATCGTGTCTTCCAACAGTGGCCAATCCCAGGTGCCCCAGAAGGAATGAACAGAACAGGGAATCATAAAGTGATCCATCCACTGTTGCCCATTCCCAGCTTCTGGCAAACAGAGGGTAGGGCCCCATCCCTGCCCATCCTGGCTAATAGCCATTGATGGACCTAATCTCCATGAATTTATCTAATTCATTTTTGAATCCTGTTACAGTCTTGGCCTTATCATCATCCTCTGGCAAGGAGTTCCACAGGTTCAGTGTGTGTTGTGTGAAAAAATACATGTTTGTTTTAAACCTGCTGCCTATTAATTTCCATTTGGTGGCCCCTAGTTCTTGTGTTATGAGGAGTAAATAACACTTACTTACTTACTTTCTTCATACCAGTCATGATTTTATAGACCACTATCATATCATATCCCCCAAGCTGAAGTGTCCCAGTTTTATTAATCTATCCTCATACGGCAGCTGTTCCATACCCCTAATAATTTTTGTTGCCCTTTTCTGAACCTTTTCCAATTCCAATATATCTTTTTTGAGAATGGGCGACCGCATCTGCACACAGTATTCAAGATGTGGATTTATATAGAGGCAATATGATATTTTCTGTCTTATCTATCCGTTAATGATTCCCAACATTCTGTTTTCTTTTTTAACTGCTGCTACACATTGAATGGATGTTTTCGGAGAACTATCCAAAATGACTCCAAGATCTCTTTCTTGAGTGGTAACAGCTCATTTAGACCCCATCTTTTTATATGTATAGTTGGGATTATGTTTTCCAATGTGCATTACTTTGCATTTATCAGCAGTGTGAAACTTCCTTACAGTGCCTCATCAGTATGACTCAACATAAGAACAGCCATACCGGGTCAGACCAAGGGTCCATCTAGCCCAGTGTCCTTCCGACAGTGGCCAATCTCAGGTACATCAGAGGGAATGAACAGAACAGGTAATCAAGTGATCCATTCCCTGTCACTCTGACCAGAAGTGAGATGTTCAGCCTCTGTACCCATCTAATGGTTGACTTGTCAGGTAAGAGCACAGATAATGGTGCGAATAAGTGCCAGTTGTGGTGTAAACTGGACAGGACTAAACAGCTTATTATACAATTCCTATGGAAAAAAACTCTCAGAAGCATAACAATTTTCACTCAACTCGGATCAGATTTATAATGAGACTCAAAGAGATTCCAAATCCCATCATCATCCAATCCCCTATTCCGGAGAATGTTGTAAGGATTCAAAAAGGTTCATCCCAAATAAATATTCTCAACAAACCAAGCAAGGAAACTGAAATCTTTCCCTGACCTGAACAGGGGCAATTTAAGTTAAAGATCTGCTGCTCATTTTAAAACCGTTCCTGTAAACAAGACAGCAGTCAAATTATGGAGTTCTGATCTGAGACTTCGTAGCAAACGTAACTACTCACATTAGCCCACATCTGTAAAGTGGAAGGGTCAATCTTATATAGCTGGTTAAAGTTACAGTACACAACAGCATCCTCTGGTAACCCATACTGAGAGCGGGTGGTAACAATGATGGTACGTGGAACCTCTTCTCCAGTTGCTGCCTTGTTGTTAATCTAGGAAGAACATAAGAAAGTTCAACTATACAGCTAATTTAGAGCACTGAAATTCAGACCACAGGATACCTAATGAAATAATCCAGTAAAGTGTTTAACAGCATAAATTCTTACCTGAAAAGTTAAGTATCGGAGGTAGCCATGTTAGTCTGTATCCACAAAAACAAGGAATCTGGTGGCACCTTAAAGACTAACAGCTTTATTAGGGCTGTGATGGGTTGGATCACAGAAACCCTCTGGGAGCTACCATCTGATGTGCCTAGACTACTTCTGCTCCTGTTTTCCTGCCCTGGCATCTTAAGACTTCAATGCCCTGCCTGGTTTGAGCCAGACCCACGTTTGAACCACGTCCCCTAACAGCTGTAGGCTTAATTGAAAGCAATTTAGGAAGTGTTCCTGTCCTTGACTCTCAGATGCCCAACTCCCAATGGGGTCCAAACCCTAAATAAATCCATTTTACCCTGTATAAAGCTTACACAGGATAAACTCAAATTGTTCACCCTCGATAATACTGATAGAGAGATATGCACAGCTGTTTGCCCCCCAGGTATTAATACATACTCTGGGTTAATTAATAAGTAAAAAGTGATTTTATTAAATACAGAAAGTAGGATTTAAGTGGTTCCAAGTAGTGACAGACAGAACAAAGTGAATTACCAAGCAAAATAAAACAAAACACGCAAGTCTATATCTAATCAAACTGAATACAGATAAAAACCTCACCAGTTCCAGCTTCCTTTTACAGACTAATCTCCTTCTAGTCTGGGTCCAGCAATCACACACACCCCCTGTAGATACTGTCCTTTGTTCCAGTTTCTTTCAGGTATCTTTGGGGGTGGAGAGGCTCTCTCTTTACCCAGCTGAAGACAAAATGGAGGTGTCTCCCAAGGGTTTAAATAGACTCTCTCTTGTGGGAGGAGACCCTCTCCTCTCTCCTATGCAAAGTCCAGCTACACAATGGAGTTTTGGAGTCACCTGGGCAAGTCATATGTCCATGCATTACTGAGTTCATTACCAGCCAAGCCACATTCCTGGGAAAGCCCAGATGTGGACTGGCATCTCCAAGTTCATTGTTGGCTTAAGGTCTTCTTGACTGGGCACTTACTGAGAATAGTCGTTTCTCAGGAAGCTGTCCAACTGCTTCACTAAAACCTACTCAGAATCAAAGTATGCAACCAATATTCATAACTTCGAATACCAAAGTGATACATGCATACAAATAGGATTAATAGATTCAGTAGATCATAACCTTTACAGAGATGTGTTACATGGCATATGTAGCATAAAACACATTCTAGTTATGTCATATATACATTCATAAGTATACTTCCATTAAGGGAAAACTGGGGGTCAGATCTCCAGGAGGGGGGAGTTCATCCAGCTGACCTTTTGGGAACAGAAAGTGGGGCGTCCAAAGGGGTTTTACCAATCCAAGACACTCCATTAAAAGATGATGTTCTTGCTACGCTTGTAAGAGCTGAAGCTCTCTCTCCAAGACCGAAGGGGAAATCTCTCTGTATGGGTGAAACTTCACAAGGGAGTGGGGTCCAGCCCAGAGAAATTCTAGAGGGAGAGGTCAAGGGCAGGCATGGTTGCAGTATTCCCTTTCCCTGCCAAAGCCCCGAACACATGCCTGAATTAAAAGCCTTCTCCAAAGTGGCAGAAGAATCTGCATCACAGTGCATACCGGGGGCATAAAGAACTAGGAAAATGCAGTAGACACTAAACAAGCTAAATCATGTGAACAAAGCCTGTCCACCGTAGATTTGCTGTTAATCTTGTGTCTTTTGCTAATTCATCCATGGGTTAAAACAAAGGAGTTAATACTAGTGGTTAATGCTTTAAAGATGTGGGACATACCCGATTTGTGGAAGAAAGTGTTGTACATGCTAGGGATGGTGACAACACAGCCCCACAAGCATGTTACTTTTCAGCCTATACCTGTAAACAGATTGGAAGCTTGGCACAGCAGCAAAAGCATAACAGGCCCATGCTGCTATGTAGAAGGGGAAACTGAGGCACACCGCCTTATGGCATTGGTGGCTAAATGGAAAACAACAGAACACCACTGGCCATCACATATAGCCCCCAGCTAAAACCTCTCCAGCACATAATCAATGATCTACAACCTATCCTGGAAAAGGATCCCTCACATTCTATAACAGATTTAAAAGTAGCTATACTTGAACAAAAACACACTTCAGAAACAGACTTCAAAGAGAAACAGCAGAACTAAAATTCATTTGCAAATTTAACACCATTAATTTGGGCTTGAATAGGGACTGGGAGTGGCTGGCTCATTACAAAAGCAGCTTTGCCTCTCCTGGAATTGACACCACCTTATCTATCATTGGGAGTGGACTACATCCACCCTGATCTAATTGGCCCTGTCAACACTGGTTCTCCACTTGTGAGGTAACTCCCGTCCCTTCATGTGTCATTATATAATGCCTGCATCTGTAATTTTCACTCCATGCATCTGAAGTGGTGTTTTACCCACGAAAGCTTATGCCCTAATAAATCTGTTAGTCTTTAAGGTGCCACCAGACTCCTGGTTATTTTTACCTGAAGAGTTGATTCAAGTTATGTCAAATATGAGGAAAAGGAAGGTTACTCACTTGTAACCAAAATACTTTGAGACATAGCTGCACGTTCACACACTAGAAATGTATTCATGGTGTGTTAGGATACAAATATTCAGGCCTGTCCGTAAAGGCCTATACTCTAAGAAATTAGGTGTATTCTTATCACTTGGCTAGTTATAGAGGTATAAAAAAAAGAATCAAAATCATTGTCTGCCAGTGTAAGAGCTTTCTCTTACTGTGTCTGTCTGAGGCCCTGTTCTTAGGTTAAGGCCTTTGGCTAAGCAGCAGAGGCAGCCATAAGCTGGGAAGCGAATGGTCAGATCCTCACCTTCTAAACTAGTCACATTGAAAGAAGGTGCTATTGGGCTGTTAGGAATACAATCCTGTCCTGATAATGCCTATCGCCTCCAGAGAAAGGGAAGTGCCTAGAAGATGTAAAAGGAAACTTAGTTTGATAGCATCCTGTCTGGCAAGAACTCACTTATCAATAGCTGGGATGTGAAATCCTCATTTCTTTGTTGTTCTATCACTGTAGTCACCATTTCCCTATTGTTTGTCTGCATAATCTCTGTCTGGTTCTGTGATTGTTCCTGTCTGCTGTATAATTAATTTTGCTGGGTGTAAACTAATTAAGGTGGTGGGATATAATTGGTTAAATAATCAGTAAAATGATTGGTTAAGGTATAGCTAAGCAGAACTCAAGTTTTACTATATAGTCTGCAGTCAATCAGGAAGTGAGTGGGGGGTGGGAATGGGAACAGGGGTGGGGAAATTGGAATCATGTTTAGTTAAGGGCAGGAATGGGAACAGGGACACAGGTAAGGCTCTGTGGTGTCAGAGCTGGGAAGGGGGACACTAAGGACGGAAACTGGAATCATGCTTGCTGGAAGTTCACCCCAATAAACATTGAATTGTTTGCACCTTTGGACTTCGGGTATTGTTGCTCTCTGTTCATGCGAGAAGGACCAGGGAAGTAAGTGGGTGAAGGAATAAGCCCCCTAACATGGTGCAACTTGGATTAGTGGAACCTTCTTGGAACAAAACCTACTGGAGCACTTGCACACTTCCTGCCCTTCCCCTCGCAGCTCTAAACATCTGGAGGACAGAGCTATAAAGGGGGCAGGGCATAGTTTCTCCTACTACCACCTCCTCCTACAGTCTCAAGTTGAAAAGAGGGAGACAGAGATAGCATCTATATCTGAACAGCTCACAAGTAAAGGAGACTGTTCCCTCAACATTGGACATAGCAACTGATCCAGACAAGAGACCCCTGATGCAGGGCACTTCCCTTGAACCATTTTGGGAGATGGCTGCCTTTCTTCAGCCCTTTTAAATACAGGGCAAAACCTTAGACAAGGCTAATATTACCTCATGCCATATAAGGAAGGTGATCTTCCAGTCTGAAATATTGGAACAGAGTGTTGATTACAATCTCTAGCTCCCCTGATCCAAGAAAAGATGTCACACCATGAGTGGTTTGATTCTGTATAAGTGTGGATTTGAGGTGTTTTCTATGAGTCATAACAATGGCTTAATTATATGAAAAGCCAAAATTCACAGTCTAACCTCCTACATAAAAAAGACCATAGAATTTCCCCCAAAATAATTCCTTCTGAACTAGAGCATATATCTTTAAAAAAAAAAATCTTATCTTGATTTCAAAACAGATGGAGAATCCACCAAAACTGTAGGTAAAACTGTTCCACTGGATAGTTACCCTTATTGTTAAAAATTTACATCTTATTTTCCAATCTGAATTTGTCTATCTTTAACTTCCAGACACTGGATCTTGACGTTTGGATCTAGACCACTGGCTCTCAAACTTTTGTACTGGTGACCCCTTTCACATAGCAAGCGACCCCCCTTACACATTAAAAACACTTTTAAGTATATTTAATACTTAAATATAAGTATTTTCGACCCGATGAGTCAAAAGAATAGTAAATATGGCAGGCGACCAGCTTGGCTTAATGGTGAAATCCTAGCGGATATTAAACATAAAAAAGAAGCTTACAAGAAGTGGAAGGTTGGACATATGACCAGGGAAGAGTATAAAAATATTGCTCGGGCATGTAGGAATGATATCAGGAGGGCCAAATCGCACCTGGAGCTGCAGCTAGCAAGAGATGTCAAGAGTAACAAGAAGGGTTTCTTCAGGTATGTTGGCAACAAGAAGAAAGCCAAGGAAAGTGTGGGCCCCTTACTGAATGAGGGAGGCAACCTAGTGACAGAGGATGTGGAAAAAGCTAATGTACTCAATGCTTTTTTTGCCTCTGTCTTCACTAACAAGGTCAGCTCCCAGACTGCTGCGCTGGGCATCACAAAATGGGGAAGAGATGGCCAGCCCTCTGTGGAGATAGAGGTGGTTAGGGACTATTTAGAAAAGCTGGACGTGCACAAGTCCATGGGGCCGGA